TGCCTAGAAGACGTTAATAAAGTTTGACTCGATGCAAATGCTGAATGTGGCACACAACCCGATTTTTGCAGAACATGGACTCCCGTACTTCAAATCCATGGATAAAGTTTATGGGATTAAACCAGGTGCTGATCAGTATGCATGTATGATTGACCTTTTGGGGCGCTCAGGAAAGATGCACGAAGCCAAGGAGTTGCTCAATGAAATGGTTGTGGAACCTGATGTAACTGTGTGGAAAGCATTGCTTGCTGCATGTAGGGTAGCAAAGAGAGGGCAGCTAAGGCTCTCTTTGAATTGGAACCGCAAGATGCTGTGCCTTATGTTATGTTAGATAACATGTATTCTGCAGCTAGTAAGTGGGAAGATTCAGAAAGAATTAGAAAATTGATGAAATTGAGGGATGTTAATAAGGAGCCTTTCTGTAGTTGGATCGAGATGAACAGCAAAGTGCACACTTTATGTCGGAAGATAGAAGCCATCCAAGGACCAATGAGATTTACTCAAAGGTTGACGAAGTTCTGATATTGATCAAGGAAGCTGGGTATTTTCCAGACAGGAATTTTGCACTCCATGATATCAATGAAGAGGGCAAGGAACTCAGACTTGCCTACCACAGTGAGAAGTTGGCTGTTGCTTTTGGGCTTCTCGTTGTGCCACAGGCAGCGCCTATTCATATTTATAAGAACCTTTGCGTCTGTGGGGACTAACATACTGCTATGGAATTTATATCAAAAGTTTTCCACAGGCCTATTGTTTTAAGGGATTCGAAATTATTTCATCATTTTAGGGAAGGAGTGTGCTCTTGTGGGGATTATTGGTAAGAAGTCATTTTTGTTCCTCTCTAGTTTCTCCGAGGGAATGAGATCAAATGGAAGTCATTCTTGGAACTAATTTTGCGGGATTGGATGTTTTCAGAGTTAATTTTGCGGACTTGATATTGGGGCTATTACAGCTCTTGAAATGGTTTAATCCATCACTCCTTCCACTTTCCTTCTGATGCTAATGCCCAGGGAAGCTACCAAGCCATAATCTTGTAACCAAGTGAAGAATGATACATCAGTTAGTTGTTTTTCATTTTTTCACCTTTTATATTAGAGAAAATTAAGTATTCAACTTTATGCAAACAACACCTCTGCGGCGCACTTGGCTTGTTAATAATGTATAGACACCCAACTAGATGTTCTAATAAAGCTGCCCAGGAAAAAAATGCTTTTCAATGGATTGCAAAATGGGGTAGCCCTTTTACATAGTTATAAACTACAGCTCCCTGAACAATACCAGTATAGGTGTTGGATGCCAAAAACTGATTCACAGGATCAGCATTGATATGGCTTGTCACGATCACTTGCAGGACTAGCCAAATTGAACACCCAATAGATTAGGAGCACTGGTGGTGTGCTGGACTAAGGCTCCCCACCATTTTAGCCAATTATCTTGGTGCAATGGTAAGATTGTTCCATAATGACCTGGAAGTCACGGGTTTATGCCACTGAAATAGCCTCTCTGTTTGCAAAGGTAAGATTGCGTACATCTAATCCTCTTCAGACCCCGCAATGACGGGAACCTTGTGTACTGGGTTCACCTTTTTATCTTCTCGTCTTACAACTTACCTTTCATTAGGTTGGAATTGCACGTACCTTCAACATGTTGAATCACCTTTTATATATGAGTAACGTAGCTTGTATGTAGGAGATGATGTAGGAGAAAACTTTAAGTCAGTCTGTAGCAAATTCTGTGGGATTCTCTTCCCTTATTCTTCATTCCCTTGGACTACCTCCTGAATGTCGTGGACTCATGGTGGAGGAATTAGGGCTCCTCATTGGAATTCTGTACAGTGCCATTTCAGCAATATGTTGTACTGTTGTATACCAACTCAGTCTTCGTTCGAGCTCTGCAACCTCGATCTCAGACCTCTTCACAGCAAGCTAACGAGCTCAGAATGCTCTCATTAATAGGTATATAGGCAAAGACAAGATTCAGTCCCAAGTAACTGGTACAACTACATAGAACCATAGTTGAAGGTCATGGTATCGGTCATTAACTCGGAGAGCTCTAAGATACATCGGTTGTGACATCATATCATGGTATTGGGCGATACGATTTAAAAAAAAATGTTGAACATGGAGAGAGATTTAGGTCATATTTTACTGTCACACGGAGCTGTTTTGGCCAATTCAATGACGATAACTCGGTGACTCGGTGTTGACTCGGAAGACTTGACTCGGAATTTATATGTATTGTGTAACAATATCATTTCGGAAGGTACCGTGTCGGATATAACTCGATCGACTCTTATCAGTATCGGCCGATGCTTCAAATCATGCATAGAACTGTCAGCTTCCTAAGAATTTTTTTTACTGGGATAGTCCACAAATAGTAATTCTGATTTTCGAATTACCACTATTTCAAGTGACCTTGTTATGTGAATGGTTTTTCATCAGAATCTGAAGTTTCTATTTTATTGAGTAGATTATTGAAGATTTAGAGGAGTTTGCATGACTCATTCTGGTTCTTGCTCTGTAGGTTTTAGAAGTTGCAGGAGTTCCTCTTTGAGCTGATAAACTACAGCAAAGACGGTTATGAATCAAGCCACTGTTTATTTGCAGCTGGAGCATGATTTGCTGCTTATTTGCATGACCACCATGAGGTGCCCTGCATGTTTGATTTGTTTATGCAGCCTTTCCTTCCGCTTAAGAGACTATGATTATAAATCTATATACACGGAATCAATTAATATGTATTTTATATTTGTATTTAATATTCTAAAGCGAATCGATATAGGGTTAGTTTTATAATTTGGATGTCGTACATTTTGATAATTTTGATTGTGAACTTACCCCATTTGAAATTGATGTACCCAGATTGTGGATAGTTAAGGAAATTCTGATAATAGTGATGCAAACAGCACCTCTTCTGCGCATTTGGCTTGTTAATAATGCAGAGAGAGACCCAACAATAGATGTTCTACTAAAGCTGCCCAGGGAGAAAAAATACTTTTCTATTTTTTGGTTCTGATTCAATGCAGGATTGCAAATTTGGGGTAGCCCTTTTACATAGTTATAACCTACAGTCGAGGTTTAAAATTTTATTTTGGTGTATTGTTTTGAATGCATAAACGAAAATGTTTCGACGTGTTTTGAAAATATTTTGATCGGTTTCGGAAATAAAATAAAAATTTAAGAATTAATTTTTCAAAATATTGGTTAAAATATCTTAAAATACCTTGAAATATCACTCAGACTTATTTTGCATAATATCGAGCAAGTAGCTTCTACATTTACCTGTGTGTGGTAATTGAGGATCATTCTATAAACTGATATGCTTGAAACTCAACTTTCACTCTGCATCCTGTCCTACACCTCTGAAATATGCCAAGGACACAACTTGTTGTGGCTCAAGAACATGTGATGCCTAAAGCGATAAGTGTTAATGAAATTTTTTTTTTTTATTAATGTTCTAAAATTTTAAATTAATTTTATTTTATCCTTTATGAGAATGAATAGTTTTAGTAAAAATTGGGGCTAAGTCTTTCATTGATGGACTTATAATAGTATAAGTTCATCAAAGAAACTTATTTAAAGATAAGTTTATTTTGAATCTTATTAGTAAGTAGTTAAGTTTACTTTTTTTAATCTCAAAAATACATTTAACAATGTTAGTTTGATCAATTATGAAAAACTAAAGACATTAAGTACTTGATGTTAGCATAATAACATTAGTTTAATAACATCAATTTCAAAACGTAATTTACTGATGCATATCATAGTCACATTTGTCCATATATAATCATAATTTTCAGTGTTAAGATTTTTTAGTATGAACATAAGACATTAAGCATAATAATATTTGAAAGTAACATAAACACTTAAGCCAAATATTTGTAATATCATAGTAACTTTTGTTTAATAACATCATTTACAATTCGTAAGTTAATAACACAAAATGACTTAAGTTCTTGTTGAACATTAAAACGAAACTCAAATTGCACTTGGCATCTTGTCCTACACCTCCGAAATATGCAGACGACACAACCATGGGCAACTCCAGAACATGTGAGGCTTAAAACGATAAGTGTTAATAAGGTTTATTTTTATTTTTATTCATATTCTAAAATTTTAAATCAATTTTATTTTGAATCCTTTATGAGAATGAATAGCTTTATTAGTGTTTGATGCTTAAATGAAACAAAATTTGAATTTGAGATAAATAGAGAATAAGTCAGGTTTGTTTTTGTACAAGAAAAAGAAAAATTGATGCTTATTATATTATTTTTGACAGAAAAAAGTCAAAAAAAGATTGATGAAATTAAATTTTCTTCTTACACTTTTTTGTCCTTCAAATCTAATTGTGTAAAGTGGATTCGCCATTGGGGCCAAAATTTTAAAATTATTTTTGTTAGTTTACAGTTTTTTGGTTGAATAAAATTATATTAAATTTTAATTTTTGACCCATACTACATTATCTACCTTTAAATTTGAGCCTTAAAGTCGACCCTTTTTTTTATTCTACTATTGAGCCGGCACGGGACACAACCGTTTGTCAAAGACCAGATCAACCAAATTGGTCTTGTTTAAGTAGAACACTTAACCATTATCCATGGTTTTAGTCCGGGATCTCGCTCGATCAAAAAAAAAAAAAAAAGTCAAATTTTAATAATCTGATAAATGTCGTCAATCCAATCTTACTTTAGATCAATCGATTGACTGTTTCAATGTTTGTACTACTGATCCATGGTTGTGCACAAGAAAAAACTTAAAAACTTCTTCAATTGTCCATTCACCATCCTGTGGCTATGCCACCCCCACCCCCACCACCACTGTCTCCTGCTTTCTTGAACGAGATGTGCCGTTAACAGGACAAAAAAAGGGAAAGGGGGGAGAAAGAAAGGGGGGGGGGGGGGGGGGGGGGGGGGAAAAAGGAAAAAAAA